TACCACCCTTTTCCACAGGGCATGCATCAAGGTAGAGAGAACGCCTCCCTCTAGTCTGGCTCTGTCACTGCCTTGGCACGTGATGTTTTCTAAGTCTTGTAACCTAACTGGGAACCAGTCTCCTTATCTAGGAAATGAGGCCAGTACAATAGATGATTTTCTTTTTCTTATAAAACCCAGGCGGGTCTGAAGGTCAGATGATTTTTAAGGTCCTTCCTGGCTTTAAAATTCTAGGTTTCATGACTATGACCACCCACAAGCCATACAGGAATTTTTTTTAAGCCACAGCTGAATTTAGTTCTTTGGAAAAGAGGCGGCGGAATCGCATTACCCAGCTGGGTGCTTCCTATTTAATCTGCTGTTTTCCTGACTCGTGTAGCTCTTTTCCTCCCAAAGCTTTCTGTGAGCCTGTAGCTTGACGGCATCTAGCCTTGATGGTTTGAGCTTTCTTTTTTCCACGATTACCACCACCCTGCCACTTATCTCACTAGGATATCGTCCAATTTAATGCATTGTAATAATAACTATGTCTTATATGTACATAAGCTTTAACAGTGCACCAAGAATGGTGTGTTAGAAAGCACATGGGTTTTTTAGCAAGACATTGTCAGAGTTTGAATTCTGCCTTGTAGCAGCTGCAAATTTGGTTGCAAATACAAACTGTTTCTGGTTAACTTCGGCAGAGAAGGAATTTAAGTGAGGAGCAGTGGGAAGCGCATGGAATCATGGGGCCGCTGGGAGGCCTTGGCAGGGGCAAGATGTAGAGGAGGATAGGCAAGGTCCAGAGGCCACCTCGAGAGCCACCAACTTGGGAGGGGCACTTGTCACTGCTGTTCACAGCCACCTCATCTAATCCCTAAATGACCGTGTGCCTTGGCTTGTCTCCTAAAGGGTCAAAGCTTTAAGCAACTGGAGAGTGAGAAGCTTCCCCTTCAGCTTAGTTTCTGTAGCGGGCAATGGAATCTTCCTTCCACTTACCCTGAGGTTCCTCTCAAATAAGAAGTACTGTATATCCTCAAGTGGACATCCAATACAAAGAAAAAGGACCTTGTGGCTTACCTGACATCATATACAAAGATTAACTCAGGTTGGACCATAGACCTAAATATAAGATTGAAAACTGCACAGCTTCTAGAAGAAAGCATAGAATAAGTATATCCGGAGGCTAAGCAGCCAGAATGATCCATGTCCACCACAGGGTTCCACCACCTACTACTACTAGCTGTGTGACTTGTCAAATGAGGAGGACAATCCCTGTCTCCAGGCAGCTGTGTGGATCCAGCGGGAACCTGAATAAGCCCCTCAGCCTGGGCCCTGCTCTCTGTGTAGGGATGTTCTCCCGAACTACCCCGCAGTGTGGATATTCCCAAGCATGTTCCAGCCTCCAGGTGTCCCTCTGCTAGGATCTGGGGGTGCATTCTGAGAGCGGACAGACCATTCTGACACCTCTTGTCTTCTGCAGCTTTGAGAGCCCTGAGATTCAGCCCCTGCTTGGGCCATAGTAGCTATAGGGAGGGTCTTCCCAGGCAGTGAACTGAGAAAGAAGATTGCATGGGGGTCCTTGTGAGACACACCTAGGCACTCTGAAAAACAGCCCAGTGAAACTTCTGTGGGGAAGTGCTGGAGGCCTGCTTCAGCAGGTGGGAGGCCCCAGTGACATCTGTTAATGTGGATTCATTTGTCCCTCTGGTGCTGGGCCTGAGCGAATTTGGGATGCACATACATCCTTTCACTGGATTCTTGTTATATCCTTTTGAGGTCAGCATAGCAAGTACTGTAGACTCTTTTTTTTTTTCCCCCCCCGCAGAGGAAGAAACTGAGGCTAAAGAACAAAATCTTGCTGAAGGTCACTCAGCTTGGGCTGTGGAGCTTGTTTTCCTGCCCCGAGCCCAGCGTCCTTCCCACCATCCAACACTGTTTCCTTTCTTGGTACCTCCATTATTAGAACACCTGGATATTCTTAGCTAACAATGGATGACATAAATAAACACACGGTCATTTCCCCACATTTCCGCACAGGTCCTCTGCAGATGGCAGAGCCCTTTCTCTAAATGCACGGCATGAAAAGGCGTTTTAAAGGTTGGAAAGAGAACTTCAGCATTAATCATCACGGGACGGCGGAAACTGGCTTTGCAAGGGGTGGATTGGACTTCAGGGAAGATAGACAGCCCGAGCTCGCTGTCAGGAGATCAGTCAGCGCTGTCATTCCAGGGCCTGGGTGGAGGGCTTCTGCTGTGCCAGGGAACAGGTGTCTGGACTCGGCCTCCCCAGGCGAGCGCCATCTGCTGCCAGTCCTTGTAGAGACTGGACTGAAGCTCTGAGTGCATGATTTGTAGGCCAGGATCCTGCCCTGCCCCTGAGGCTGAGGCCAACGTTGGGGTGGCTGCCTTTAAGGCTGCTCTGGAATTGTCCCTGTACTTACTGAGCCAAGGAGGAAGAACCAAAATAGATGCTGGGAGAAAGCAGAGGTCAGAGGCTCAGAGAGGCAGGTCCTGTGTCAGGATGGAAGGGGATGTAGCGGGGGATGGTGTCAATAGCCAATGGGGATGAGGACTAAGGGAAGAGCCCATCTCACAGGACTGCTATGCCTAGCAGAGGGTAGATGATCAATGACTATTTGTTTAAATAATTAATAGTTCAGCAACCAAGGACAGTCTTGTGGGGGTAGGGGCAGCTCCTAAAAAGGGCTATGGTAGGAAGGGTGGGCCAGGAAGGTCTGTGTGGCTGAGCCCCTCTAGGACCCTCAAACTCCAGTGTCAAGTCTTCTGTCCTTTTGAGCCCAAGTGACACCACTGATTATTTTTACTCTATCTTGAGGGGGAAGCAGGCCCCCTACGAAGGACATAAATCCCTACAGATGAAGACGCCTCATTGAGCCTTTGTCAGCCAAAAAGGAAAAAATAAGCATTTGTCTAATTTTCCCAAATTTTAACCAGCCGACAGGTTAGAGATCATGTTTGTTTGTTTGTTTTTGGCTTTTAAAATAACCTTTATTTTTTTAAAGTTAGTATGTGTATTATAGGAAACTAAAAAACACAAGCAGCAAAGAACAAAGTCATTCACAATCACAAGCAGTTTATAGTTTGACATATTCTTCCAGGTCCTGTGCGTGTGTAGGCACAATATCCAGTTTTATGGGACTGAGATCGTACAGTATGTATCATGATTTTTCACACGTCATGAATATTTACCAATTCAAAATCCCAAAGCTATATGAGTATTCTGATAACCAAGAATACACTACACCAACTCAAACTGTTAAAAAAAAAAAAGTAATCCTGCCTTTCTTGGGACAAAAATTTCATGAGATCATGTTTTAAATGGAGAAAGAGAAAGGAGAAAGCAAGAAACTTGAATTCACTCAATTACTCAGAAAGCTTTAACCAAAAAGCTCCTACAAATTAAGGCTGACCCTAATTGACTTATTTAGATGTTAACCTTTAGAAAAACTCTGTATACATAGAAAGAGTGTGTACATTTGTGGCTTTGAACAAACATTTATGATTCATGGAAGGTGATGACTGCTTTGGCAAAATGGCATGGTTCAGTTTGAAGTTCAGCAGCTCTATTCATCCATTGTGTGACCTTGGTCACTTGGTCCCACGGACCCTTCCACCCTTGCTGGGTGAGTGCACAGAGGCGGACCAAAGTGCCAGTTCCAGCCCCCATTTCTTGGCTGCTTGGCTCTCGAGGCGCCTGACTTTCTGACTCGTCGGGGTCATCCAGGTTCTGATGGCTGGGTTAGCCCTCAAGGATGCCTCTTGGCTGACTGGGTTCAGCTTTCTTCAGTTCTCAACTTTCCTTGGTTTCTTAATTTCAATGTTATGTCATCCCTTGGGATCCTGTTGGCCAGGCCCATCCCTGGAGGAGGGTTGACCTCAGCTTTCTTATTTTTCTCCCTTTCTTCCTTCCCTCCTTCCATGTAAGATGAGATGGTTGGACTGGACCAAGTCTAGAATCCCTTCCCGTTCCGACTGCTCCATGGTCTGATGAAGGTGGCCACTGGGACATTTGGGCAGGGGCCCCTCTCCACAACCATGGAGGTAGGCATGTGGTAACTCCCCCTGCTACGTCCATACAGCTGTTCTCCTATGAGAAGAGTTAAGATGCTTTCTGCACAAAGTGAGAAAGCAAAAGAGCCAGACAGGACCCATGCGGGGAAAAAGGACAGAAAGCAGATAGCAAAACCAACCTGCCCTCTGAGGGCATGCACACGCAGGGCTGCTCGCAAAGTGGGTTTTCGTCCTGTTCTCAGGCTTACAAGCAACTCATTGTTCTGAGAAGAGAGCAGCTGCTTCTAGGGAGTATTCAGTATTGGGTGTGACTACTTAGGGAAGCGAGTTTTCAGCAGAAGGCCTGAGCCCTCCTCTGACAGGAAAGGAGGAAGTCATTCTGGGCAGGGGATTCGTTTTCTATTGCTGCTGTAACAAATCACTGCCAATGTAGCGGTTTCAAACAACATAGTTTATCATTATACAGGTCTGCAGGTCAGACATGAGCCTCACTTGGACACAAGAATGCATTCCTTTCTGGAGATTCTAGGGGTGAATGCATTTTCTTGTCAGTTGGCAGAATTCAGTTGCATAAGGTTGTGGGACTGAAGTCGCCATTTCCTTGTTGGCATCACTGGGGGATCCCTTACCTCCCCCCTGGAGGCCTCTCTCTCGTCCTTGTCTATGAACCCTGATATCACAGAACCAGCAGCCGGGCTCCTTCTCACGCTGCCACCTCTCTACCTTTCCTTTTTTCACCTCTCTCTCTGACTATGAATGGGGAAGCTTCTCTAGTTTTTTTGTTTGTTTGTTTTGGGACGGAGTCTTGCTCTGTCGCCCAGGCTGCAGTGCAGTGGCGTGATCTGGGCTCACTGCAACCTCCGCCTCCCGGGTTCAAGCAGTTCTCCTGCCTCAGCTTCCCTAGTAGCTGGGATTACAGGTGCCCACCACCACACCTGGCTAATTTTTGTATTTTAGTAGCGATGGGGTTTCACCATGTTGGCCAGGCTGTTCTACATGACCAGCAAGCAAGCCACCCGCCTCAGCCTCCCGAAGTGCTGGGATTACAGGCGTGAGCCACGTGCCTGGCTAGTTCTCTACTTTTAAGGACTCGTGTGATTAGACTGGATCCACCTGAACAACCTCGAGTAGTCCCCCCATCTCAAAGTCTTTAACTGAGTCACATCTACCAAGGCCCTTTTGTTTGCCATGTAAGGTCACCTATTCACTAGTTCTGGGCGTTAGAAAGTGGACATCTTGAGGAGGTCGCTAGCTTGCTGCCCACAGGCAGGTTAGGCCATGTGATTTGCTGACCCTCTGCAGATGTTACACTGAGGCAGTAAACCTTTTCCAGGTGACTCATACCACCTGTGCACATCGGGAGACAGAGTCATGTGAACTGCAGCAAACCAGTGCCAGCTGTGCATTGTGCAAAGCAGGACTTGAATGTGTCCATCAAACGCACTCTGTGGTCGAGCCATCAGATGCCCTAATTAATGTTCACATGGCTTTGTGAAATCCAACTGTAGGCTAGCTTGTAAAGTGTTTTTACAAGAGCTGACACCGATGGAACCTACTCAGCTTGCTTTTCCTGTTCCAGCTTTTTCAGGCACAGTCAGGACCCCCTGGAACTCCACCAGCTCCCCCATTCCCCTCCCATGAGTGTGGGTGGCCCCTCGTAGCCTCTGACCACCTACTGGAACCTGCAGAGGCAGTATTAGCAGACCTGAGGTCTTCCTCTGCATTGCATTTGCTGTTCCCTGGCCTGCAATGCCCCTTCTTTGCCCCCTCCCCCGAGGGCCTAGCAGCCCCTCCTACGCAGCCCTCTAGCCCCTCTGTGCTCAAAGTGCATCTGAGGACATCACCTGAGAGCTGTAGGAAATGCAGGATCTCAGGCCCCGCCCCAAACCTACTGAAGCCAGATCTGCTGTTTAACATGATCCCTGGAGATTCATAAGCATGTTGTCTACGCAGCACGGAGTGAGGCGCGGCTCCTCTTCGCTGCACCCCTTCCTGACTACCCCTAGGCCCAGCCAAATAAACTCTTCTTCCTGCTCCCTTGTGCCCCATTTGGACTTCGTTCATAACAAGGGAGTATAACTGGATGGTAAAAGGGACTTTTCCTGTTACCTAGACATTTCAGCCTCAAAGGCAGAACAAATTAAGGTAGGTGCAAGGAGCCACACATCCATACAATGTTGAGACCCTGCCCAGGACAAGCTCGGTGAGTGGAAAACTTCTTTGTCAGCCCTTCGCCCACTTCCAGCCTCAGATCGAGGCATCAGGGAGGGTTTCCTTGAACAGGGTGGGCGGAGGGCACTGTGTTCCCACCACCCCTGTTGCCCGTCCATGGGGTGAGGCAGCAAGCGCTTCCCTTCACCTCAAGGAAGTGACAAGGGCTGCACGGGGAGCTTTCCCCACACCTGTCAGTGTTTGGGGAAACGTGAGGACTGGTCTGAGGAGTCAGGGCTGCAGTGGCCAATGGTGCCCTGCGCCAGAGGGCAGTGGGGTGAAGGTGTGTGGCTCCCGGGAACCAGATGGGGGTGGTGGAGAGATTTCTTGGAGCCTTTTTGAAGAGGACTCCATCCAAGTGGGCTGCCTGGAAGGGCAAAGGGACCCAACAGAGATGTGGGCCACTGGGAAACCACAGCCCCAAGGGCTGCTGCAACCCTGCCCCACAACTACATCCCAGCCTCATAATGGAAAATGTAGTTGAGGTGGGGTTGCCAGATTTTACAAATCCAAATACAAGATACTCATTTAAATTTCTATGTCAGGTAAACAACATGTATGTTTTTAGTATATGTTACATGAAATATTTGCAACATACACTAGAACATTTTAAATTTTCATCTAGCTCAACTTCAAATTTAATTGGGCATTCTGTATTTTTATCTGGCAACCCTAAGTTGGGAGCTTTATAGCAGAAATTCAAGTGGCTTCTCCAAGAAACCCACGAAAGCACCCCAAAGAGAAGTCAGCCCTAGAAACCCCAATGTCAGCTCACAACTGAAGCAGTCAGGTAAGATCCTTTCTGCTGTTATTCTGGTCCCCGACCTCAATGCCTCATCAGAATAGGGAGTAGGAGGTGGGAGAAGGGAGGGGACAGGAGGAGGAGGAGGAGATGACTACCTCCATCACTTCAGGCGTCCGAGCCAGAGACGAGACACCTTAACTTTAAATGAAATTGAACATTTTGATTATTACCTGGATCAGACACAGACATACAACTACTGTTCTTGTGACTTAAAGAGACCTATGATGTCGGCCTAAGATGGCATGTCTTAGGTGGCAAAGGAAGCAGGTCCTGGAGCCAGGGGGAAAAGACAGTGGGTGAAAGGAGAGTTTCTTCAAGAGTGTGCTCAGCTAAGTAGCAGTGGTTCCCAAACTGATGGCTTATTTGCAGAGCTGTCTTTCTCACTAGCATCTTAGCATTCGTTTGTGTCCCCAGCTCATGGCATGTGTAGTAGATGCTCAGTAAATGTCTGACTGTGTGTGTGTTGTTTTTGTTTTTGTTTTTGTTTTTGAGACAGGGTCTCAGTTGCCCAGGCTGGAGTGCAGTGGTGTGATCATAGCCCACTGCAGCCTCAAACTCTTGGAGTCATGTGATCCCTCCTGCCTCACCCTCCCGAGTAGCTGGGACTACAGGTGCATACCACCATGCCTGGCTAATTTTTATTTTTTTCTTTGTACAGACAAAAAGGAAGAAAACTGGGTCTTGTTACGTTGCCCAGGCTGGTCTCCAACTCCTGGTCTCAAGTGATCCTCCCAGCTTGTTCTTCCAAAGTGTTGGGATTATAGGTGTGAGCCACTGTGCCTGGCCATGTCTGAATGTTGAATGTTGACGTCTTCAGTGAATTGACCCCTCTTTCATCTATGGGACTTATGAAGAGAGAATCTTTCTGGCATTGCATAATCCTTCCCCAGGGTACTTTAGCTGTGGTCACCCTTCTTGTTATAAAACATGGCAGGTATGATGAAGGAGATCAGCTGAGCTGGACTTAGACTCTTCTCTAAGAACATCGTCAGGCACTCAGCGTTCACAGCAGGGCAGATGTAGGTTTCTAGGTACCTGAGGCTTATAGGAACTGGGGTTCATTCTAAGAAAAAGAGTATCAAATTATGAAGACAAAATTAGGCATCAATGTGAATATTAATTTAGGAGAAATCACAACAAATCGCACATCCTAACAAGCTAACAAATACTGCATACATCACAACATCTAGAAGCATAACGATATTTGTATTAGTTAACTTGGACATATGACTATAGTATGCTTTTTTCCTACATTTTTGGGCTATATTTTTTTCATATTCTTTTTGGTTGATGTCCTTGTAGGTAGTGGCTACATGTTAGTAGCCACTAACCCTAGGAGTAGGTAGGGTTCATGTTGTTGTTGTCGATGTCTGTATTTTGTGATCAAATCACCAAGACTGCAAATCCTTTTTTCAACATATTCATATGATTCACTCCCCTTCATTAAATTGGGTTATTCAAACAATTATGCTCCAAATTTATTTCTTCCTCGTAATGAAGTACTACTTTGGCATGATCTGATTTTTATAATTATTCTCTCTTCTCATCTTCATTATTTATATTTTCTTAGCTATTATGATTCTTCTCAATTTCAGGCTTTTGTCTATCAGACTTTTTAGCTTCTGTTGTGATAGAACAAGAGAGTTTTTGACATTTTGTAACTTCTTCCAGTCTTTTGTCTTTCAGTTTTTGTCTGAGACTTCTACTAGGATGTTTTCTTCTCAACACACTTGATTTTTGTAGAGTTAATAATTTTGAAATAAAGGCATTCTCAAGAGCAGTTCAAATGCATTTGAAAATTGCTGAAATGTATTGAGTTACATATTGCATAATCAAATTACTTTTTCGCCACATAGACTGATCTATTGGTGAGTATGTGTAGGGGTTTCATTACTCTGGAGTCTTTTTTCTTTGCTTTCTTTGCCCCTTTCTTTCCATTTCTGTGACAATTTGGTGCACAGTTTCATCAGGAAGTCTGAGACTTCAGAAGGGCAGGAGGATCAGATACTGTAAGGGTGATCCGCTCAGTTGGCACAAGAAATCTGGGGAAGACATTACATGAACAGTGGAATCTTCTTTCTTTGCAGAGAAAAGTGGACAAGCATCCAATTTCCAAATCAATTCTTGGGATAAACTGGTATAACTTGTTGGAAGGCAGTTTGTCAATATGTATTGCAAGCCCTAAAAATATTTATGTCCCCCTCAAATACATGCACATTCCTATAGTTTGACTGAGTAATTTAATTTAGGTATATTAATTTTAAGAAAATGTTCCTGAAAATGAAAAAAGTATTGGACACCAAGGTAGTGTTAACAAAATATTCCTTAAAACAGTTTTTTTTGTTTTTTTTTTTTGTTTTTTTGAGACAGAGTCTTGCTCTGTTGCCCAGGCTAGAGTGCAGTGGCGTGATCTCAGCTCACTGCAACCTCCACCTTCAAGGTTCAAGCGATTCTTCTGGCTCAGCCTCCCGAGTAGCTGGGATTACAGGCGCCACCATGCCCAGCTAATTTTTTTGTATTTTTAGTAGAGACAGGGTTTCACCATGTTGGCCATGCTGGTTTCGAACTCCTGACCTCAAGTGATCCTCTCACCTTGGCCTCCCAAAGTGCTAGAATCATGGGTGAGACACCGCACCCTGCCTCTTAAAACACTTTTGGAGCCAGGTGCGGTGGCTCATGCCTGTAATCCCAGCACTTTGGGAGGCTGAGGCGGGCAGATCACGAGGTCAGGACATCGAGACCATCCTGGCTAACATGGTGAAACCCCATCTCTACTGAAAATACAAAAAATTAGCCGGGCGTGGTGGTGGACACCTGTAGTCCCAGCTACTCGGGAGACTGAGGCAGGAGAATGGCGTGAACCTGGGAGGTGGAGCTTGCAGTGAGCCGAGATGGCGCCACTGCACTCCAGTCTGGGTGACGGAGTGAGACTCTGTCTCAAAAAGAAAAACAAAACAAAACACATTTTTGGAATAAGTTGCTCCAACAATAAATGATTGGTTATTTAAATTGGGAAACATCAACTTGATGGATATTATTACTATTGAAGTTTATAGAAGGTTTGTTATATGGCACAAAATGACTCTTACATAACATTAAGCAAAACAAAAGCAAAATACAGTATTGTATATATGTTTTGATCTCAGCCAAACTAATACTAAATCCCATGCTCAGAAAAAATCCTGGAATATACATGATTTTAAAATGTACACTGTCTATATAAGTATACTATATATTTCATAAACACCCTCCCATGTCAACAAATACAGATTGTGACATAATTTTTAATAGTTGCATAGTATTTCACTGGATGCATGAACAAAAATGTTTCTGCTCTTTTAAGACATTCAGACAGCTTCAGATATTTTTCTGTTTTAAGTACACTGCAAGGAACCATCTTGCGCATTCATCTTTAGCCAGTTTTCCAATTATTTCCTCAGGATAAATTCCTAGAAGTGGAATTGCTGGGTCAAAAGCATTTTTAGGGCTTTCGAAACCGATCGCCAAATGACCTTCCAGAGCGACTATAAATTTAAGCTCCCACCAGCAGCACATGAGTGTATGGCCTTTCTCTGGTGCCTTGGCCAACAATGACTCTTCAATTTGTTTTAAAATGAAGAAAATAACTGAAGAAAATATGCCTGCAGTAGATTTGAAACTTATTAAATGTATTCAAGTTTTTATTATACAATCCTGGCTTGCTATAAAAATGTTGCTAGGAGTTAACATCTATTCCACAGTTACCATGTCCCAGGCAATGTGTGACATGAGTTAATTCTCTTAGTGCTGCAGATAACTCTATGAGGTAGGGGCCATTACCCATCAATTTCATATGTGAGGAAATGAGACACAGGGGTGCTAAAGGTAACACAGTCCAAGGTAATGAGGGGCTGAACTAAGATTTCAACCCAGGCCACAGCCTACACCATACTGTACAGCGTCTCAGTCTCTGCTGAGATGTCCCTAAGCATGCAGTGAACCTTGTAGTTCAGGATTCACTGTGGCACCGGAAATCCCTCTAGTCCATATTCGAGGATGAGTCTCAGTTTAGGCAGAGGCCCCAGAGACCACCATTTAGAAGATTCTGAGAATCTACTACTAGCATGAGGTAGGCTGCCTGTGCAGGACCTGCCAGGACGGAGTTAAACCTAGCCTGCCAGCTCTAGCCCACCGGTCACTTGGGCTGAAGAGTCATGAGAAAAGGGTTATTTGGGACAGAGCTGAGTGTCATGATGTGCCCGCCGCTCTTGTGTTGGGTGACTGTTTCCTCCTGGTCTGCCTGGGACTGTCCTGGCCTTAGCAATGGAAGTCTTGCCTCCTGGGAAACCCCTTAGTCCTGGGCAAACTGGGTCAGCTGAGCACCATATTTCTGGGGGAAGGTTCTGGCACTTCCTTCCCACCTCAAGACAGGTGTGGGGGGCTTTGAGGGGCTCTGGAGCCGTGGCCCTGGGGACAGAGCTAACACCCATGCATCAGACACCCAGAGGACTCATGCCAGATCACACTGCTGTGCTCAACTCCGTCCCTTCTCCCTCTGGGCCTGGCCTCAGATGGTCTGAAACCCAGCTAGTGAGGATGGGGGCTGGGAGTAGAGCCAGGAGAGAGAAGAGACTAGCAACACAGACCCCTGCTCCTCCTCAGGCCGCTTTTAAGCCCGGAGCAAGCCTCAGATTGTGGGAGGAGACTGAACTTAACAGAATTTAAAGTTTGATGTTACACTGGCTTGGACATTTTAAGTCACTGAAATGAGACTTGAAAGGGCGAGGAGCACGGTGGGAGCTGCCAGGGACGTCCCCGGGGGATGGGGAGGAATGATGGCAGAGGGCAGGGGAAGGCTGAAGCTGCTTATGAGCCAGCACTGCCAAAGGCGACCCTCTCAACACTGGGCTGCTTGGAGTGGCCACTGTGGGCCGCACCCGGGCCTTGCCGCCTCCTCCCAGCAGGGGTGGAACCACAGCTGCTGCCACTTCTACTGCCTAAGGGGCAGCGGTTCGGGGTAAGAACCCAGGGTCCCCTCACTGCCCTCTGCCCATCAGGCTATGGCAAGAGCCTTTCCTCACCCCAGACGCTGCCTCCTCAAATGGAGCATCCCAGCTCTCCAAACCGCCAGAGCCCGTCCTTCTCCTCCCAAGCAACCACGATAATAAACGATGGCTTGTTGATACATGCGAGACACCGAAATAGGTTCTGAATAGACATTGTCTTCTTTTGTCCTTATAATTTACCAGTGAGGTGTTGTTACCATCCTCATTTTTCAGAGGATCAGAGAGGTTAAGGAACTTACCCAGCTATTAAGTAGTGGAGTGGACTGGAAACCTGTTCTGCCTCCATCCAAAGCGCATGTCCAGTTCACAATTCTGCACGGCTTCCTAGCTCTTACCTAGCCTAACCTCCCAGCTCCCCACCAGGCACCTGGGAGGGGCAGCTTTGCACTGGGACCTTGGTGGGGTAGCTGCGTTTCCACTATTCCTACTTGAAACCTGGAATGTGTTTTTTCATGGGAACAATATGATGAATGGTTCCTTCCACTCCACGGTGGTTACTTATTGGTTCAGTCGCCGTGTGTGACCTGGCCTGGGGTTCTGACCACACTCGGTCATGTGATTTCCCAGGAAGAAAACACATCCTGGGTTCTAAATAGCAAATTCCAAACACACTGTTAGGACACAGCTTATTTGTGAGTTAGGGAACGTCTGCCTGTAAATGATTTTAATTTATGTGACAAGAAAAATAAACTGGGCTCTTTCATTATGCTATTTGGGTTGTTGGTTTACACAGAAGGGAGGCCACCCCACAGTTTGTCCTTCTACAAGGGCGTCATCTGTTTGAATTATTCAATCTCTTCAAAGAGTTTGTGGCTAAGTCTATGGTACTGGAGAAGCATGTGGTTTAGTGAGTGAATTAAAAGTCAGGAGATGTGGGTCTAGCCCTCTCCTTGCCCTTAACCAGCTGTGTGACTTTGGGTGAGTCACTGTACCTCTCAGGGCATCTGCTTCTCAATCTGTACAATAAGGAGGTGACTCTTGAGAATCCCCAAGTTCCCTTCCAGTCCTCAGATCCCATGAAGAACAAGGAGCCTCAGGTGCAGAACTGCCAATGACAGGTCTGCTCAGAAATCATGTTTCCTTCTTTTGCTTCCCTTTGTAATTTTTCAAGAAAAATTCTTTAGTAATGGTGTTCTTGAGCTCTGGCAGATGAAAAAAAGAGAAAGTCAGGTTCTTTGGGGTTAAATGGAGCATTTAATAAGGGCTAAGCAAAAAGATGTGTGCTGGCCCTTTTTCTCACGTTGGATGTTTGGTTAATCGATCAGCAGATCCTGGCACCCAAGTGACAACCTGCATTGAAAAGGCGGAACTTGGCTCTCCTGCCCTTCCAGCTGTAAGAGCCTGAAACCGAAGCTATGGGGGGAATGTCTTTCATTTCCCCCTGGAAGCTGGGAGGACGTTCAGCTTAGCATTGCCAACTGTGTAATGTGGGCTTGCCTCTAAAAGAAGCCCTTTTCCTTGGACGTCTTTCAGGCCACAGTATTCCCTTTGGCACCTCTACCCACTTGGGACAAAGCCTGATGTAAAGTCTGGGTGCAACTCAGACCGGCCTGGGAAAGAATTTATTTAATAAATGGTGGAAAGTGGCTTCCTTAATGTGTCTTCAGTGGCTTTTTTATAAAGCATTTGGTTTGTCTACTTGTGTGTTTTTGCTCCATCTCTTTCCGCAAAGATGGCTTATAGCAGGGATACTTACAACAAAATGATGCTGGGAAAATAAAAACAAAGAAGTAGAGAATTAGGCCTGAGAGAACTAGGAGTAGAGGGTCAAGATTAGATGCAGAGGAGCATAGATGTGTAGTCTAGGAAGGCCAAGTAGTCGTTACAGCTGAAACTCAAATTCAATGAGCTAAAATGTTCCTAGTGTCAAAGGAAGAATGGGCTACACAGTTGCATAATCCTTAGTATTAGGGAGAAGGAAAAGGTTCCAGTTATTCAGAGGAATGTTCTCTTGCCCTATTCCTTTAATAAGTATCGATTAAAGGCCCACCATGTGCCAAGCACCATGCCAGGCAAGCACTGCACTCACCCCCCAGGAACTCGGTGTCTAAAGGAGACTGGGTGAAAGAACTATATTTGTGTGCCTCCCATGTGCCAAATACTATGCATTTAGTTATGCAGTTACTGTATGTTTGACACTATGCATTTAATTATGCACCTGCTGTATATCAGACACCATGCATTTTCATTTAACCCTCATAAGTACTTATGTCAAGTAGACACTGTTACTTGATGAGAAAACAGAGTGTCTCCCTGCAATGGGTAAGTATCGAAGTTAGGATTCACATCAAGGCCATTCTGTCTTCTTTATGGTGCTATTGGTGGTCTAACTTCCACTATTTATTTTCCCTTCCCTTTCTTTTCTTCTTTTCCTTTTCCTCTTTTTTTTTTTTTTTTTTTGAAACAGGATCTTGCTCTGTTGCCCAGGCTGGAGTGCAGTGGCATGATCATAGCTCACTACAGCCTTTACCTCCTGTTTTCAAGTGATACGTCCACCTATCCCCTCCTAAGTAACTGGGACTACTGGTGTGTGCCACTGTACTGGCTTATTTTTAAAAATTTTTTGTAGAAATGGGGTCTTGCTATGTTGCCCAGGCTGGTCTCAACTCCCAGCCTGAAATGATCCTCCCAATATGGCCTCTCAAAGTGTTGGGATTACAGGCTTGAGCCACCACAGCTGGCGCCCTGTTCCCTTTCTAACAGAACTTCAGCTTTGTTTAATTATTTACCACTCCTCAAAATAGCTACCATGGGCCAAGGGTCAATGACCCCATTTCTAATTCTTGTGGGCAGGATGGGAAGATTGATTAGCCAATCACAATAATCCCCTGTGCCTGGTTTAAGAATCTGGGCTTAAGCCAATCATTATGTGACATTCTCCTGGTGATTGTCTTAGGTCTAGGATGACAGAAGCAGGCACAGTAAGACTGAAGGAATGGCCATCAATTCCATATTTTGGGGAAAGGCTCTTCTATCTGTCTTGCTGGAAATAAACTAGTAGGTATGTTGCTGCTGGCAGCCCTTCTGTGACTCTGGAGGAAGCTGACTCTTCTGATACCAACTGTTCTGACACCAACTGGTGTACTGTAATATGATTCCCCAGATGCAAATACAAATACCCAGAGTTAGTGGAGACTCCACACTATAGGGCACAGTCCCCTACAAGACTGTTTCACTTCAAATGCCAGCCACAAGGTGGGGTCTCAGACCACCAGCATTTCTGACCAGCTGGCTACAAATCTGAGTGTTCCCACAATCCCTCTCAGGTTCAATAATTTGCTAGAATGACTCACAGAACTCAGGAAAGCCTACATTATGATTATAGTTTTATAATAAAGAATATCAATCAAGAGCATAGGGTAAGGCCTAAGAGCTTCTAGAATGCAGAGCTTCTGGGCCCTGTCCCCATGGAATTGGCCCATATCACTCTCCCAGTGCATCAGTGTGTTCATTAACCAGGAGCTCCACTGAGCTTCAACATCCAGAGTTTTTATTAGAGTGCCATTCCATTGGCATGACTGAACATTGGCCACGTGGTTGAACTCAATCTCCAGCTCTTCCTCCCTCCTTGGAGGTAGCGCTGGTTCAAAACCCCAACCCTCTAATTACGTGGTTGGTCTTTCTAGTGACCAGTCTTAATCCTGAACCATCTCAGCATAAACTCAGGTGTAATCCATGGAGCTCATGAATAACAAAGACACTCCTATCCCTTGGGAAATTCCACAGAGTTTAAGAAGCTCTGTGCCAGGAACCTGAGACAGGACCAGACAAATTCTTCATTATACAAACCTGACCTTCAGACAAACCTGAAGGTTATGGAGAAAATACCGATAGAACAGAAGAGAGACAATGCCAGAGCCCACACTACTCTGCATTCTCTGAAATATGAGCTAGTACTTTCCTCATCATTTAAGCCAGTTTGAATTGGGTTTCTGTCACTTATAGCTAATTGATCTTACACTGACTATTATACTTTGAAGTGCAAGAAACAGAAACCCCAACAAAAAATAACTTAAACAATAAGAACTTCTGTTATTCCACAAAATGAAAATCTGGAGGTAAAACAGTTCTAGAGTTTTTATTTTTTAACTCAGGGCTGGGACAAGGCTGGCACAAAATTTCAGGAGTCCAAAAAAATTCAATCAGCAAGATAAATAGTATTTATGACAATATTTTAAAAATGACAATTAATGCAAAAAATTGAGAATAAAATATCAAAATTTTAAGTAAAGATAATCAGCATTACTGATTTTTTTTTTTTGCTCTGGGCTTCAACATCACTCAGCACAGCACTGTTACCAACCCTGTGTTTATCTAAAATTTTGGTATTTTTTCAAAATTTTGGATATTTGCATTATTTTTATTTTTAAAACTGTTAATTCTAGGCTGGGCACGGTGATTCACACCTATAATCCCAGCACTTTGGTGGGAGGATTGCTTGAGGTCAGGAGTATGACACTGGCCTGGGCATCATAGGGAGACCCCTGTCTCTACAAAAAAGATAAAAATTAGCCAGGTGTGGTAGTGCATGCCTGTAGTCCCAGCTACTCAGAAGGCCAAGGTGGGAAGATTTCTGGAGCCCTGGAGTTCGAATCTGCAGTGAGCTACGATTGCACCACTGTACACCAGCCTGGGAGACAGAGTGAGACAGTGTCTCATATATATATATATATATAATCTTGATTACTGAGATTGAGATTTTGGGCACCCCTTAAACTTTGTGCCCTAGGTGAGTGCCTTCCTGACCTGGGCCCATTTTCCCACTCCATTACACCTTCCCATCCTCAGGTGTTGACTGGAGACCTCAGCTGGTTTCCCTTCATGGTTGTAAGCGGACTGCCACTATTCTGGGAACAACAACATCAAACAAAAACCAAAGAGTGTTTTGTTCTGTGCATCTTTTTCATCAACAAGGAAAACTTTCCCAAAAGCTCCAGCAGACTTTCCTCACTGGCCAGAATTGCACCACATGCCATGTCTAAACCAGTCACTGACAAGGCCGAGGGAGCACCCACGCTTGGCTGACAGCAATCACACTGAGCCTGGGGAGGACGTTGCTTTCCTTGAGCACCTGGCCTTGTGGAGGCTGGACACCTGATCAAGTTCAAGACTTTACCCCAAAGAACACATACTATGTGAAGTTTAGAAAGAAGCCACACAACTCACTTCTCGGCCTTTTGGCTAAGATTAAGTGCAAAAAGAAGCCACACTAGTCTGTGGCATAGAACTCAAGAGTGTTGTCACCTTTGGGGAGGTGGATGAAGGTACTGATTGGAAGGCAGCATGAGGGCAGCTTGTGGGATACAAGTAATGTTCTCTATTTCTTCATCTGAGTCATGGGTACTTGGGTGTGTTGACCATTAAGCTGTAGGCATGATTTGTGTACTCTTCTGTATGTATATTTGAGGCTCAAAGTGTGGTCCATGGCCCAGCAGCATTAACATCACCCAGGAGCTTGTTTATAAATGCAGAATCGAGGTCCCAGCACCTACTGAATCAGAAGCTGCACTTTAACTACATTGCCAGGCAATACACTCACACGTTAAAGTTCGAGAAACACAGTATTATACTTCAATTTTTAAAAACTGCTTTCATAGGAAATATTGGGGCTTTCCCAGCAACGAAGGTGGGGAGATTGGGTTTGGGTAGAGCAGGAACAGTGCTGACTCGAAAGCCTGTTACAGGGTTTACAAAGTAGCTACTCACCGGTCCCTACTCAGTGGCAGCTGCTTCTGCCGCTCTTCCTCTCTTCAACTGTTCTTCACTTTCTCTGCTTTCAACAATTTGTTTTTCATCAAACAGGGGCTCAGGCAGCACCTGGGGGCTCAAAACACACTGGATGCGGACATGGTCACGTGGTAAGGACAGCCACATGAAGTAAGCGTGAGATGGCGATCTCCTCTGAAATATGAGCCTCATTCCTTTGAAAGTAGCAAAGAACTATCCAGAGGCGTTGGGAAAATGGTAAGAAAATCTTACCTCTATTGAGAAAGAGTGAATGCCAAAGGCCTCCCTTCACCTGCTCCATTGCCTGTAACCAAGCACTCACCCACCTCAGCTGGAGACATTAGATTGAAAACAAACTCCCAGTCCCCATTTAAAGAGGTCAGCCGTGGGCAGTGAGGATGGGATGCTCATGGAGGTGAGGTGTGTGGTGCCCCACAGTGGGGGAAATGACTTAAAATATACATTAGCGTAATGGTGATTTCAGCCTAACACAGCTTGGTAAGGAACAGTGGTTCTGCAAGAATCCTTTGTATATGGTTTGCCAGAAGGAACATAAACTGAGATTCTAAACTCCAGAAACACAGGCATTTTAGGAACTGTCCGCTTTATTCCTTTTGCTCTTATTTAAGATAAAAATTCTGCCTCTGATTCCTGCCTGCAATTTCAGGTCACCCAGACCCCTATTTGTGCCCCCATCCCTTGGTGCTGAAGACCCCCTAGGGACAGCAGAACGAACTAGCTCAGAGAGGGGACCGGGAGATAGGAGCAGGGGAAGAGGTATCTTCTAATACGTATCAGGTACATTCTCCTTTTAAAGACTCAAGTGGGCCAGGTGTGGTGGCTCATGCCTATAATCCCAGCACTTTGGGAGGCTAAGGCGGGTGGATCACCTGAGGTCAGGAATTCGAGACCAGGCTGGCCAACATAGCAAAACTCCGTCTCGAATAAAAATACAAAAAAAAAAAAAAAAAATTAGCTGAGTATGGTGGTGCATGCCTGTAATCCCAGCTACTTGTGAGGCTGAGGCAGGAGAATTGCTTGAACCCGGGAGGTGGAGGTTACAGTGAGCCAAGATCGCGCCACTGCACTCCAGCCTGGGCAACAGAGCAAGACTCTGTCTGGAAAAAAAAAAAAAAAAAAAAAAGACTCAAGTCCATGGCAAAGTCAGCCATGGGGGAACTGAGAAAGGTTCCAGGAAGCTGTGGCCTAGTAATCAGACAAAAGCTGTATCCACCACCCAGGGGCCCACATAAAAGCTCCTGGGTAACCCACATCTACACTCATAACTATGGGCAGGGCCAGCTTCCTGGGGGTGCAACCAGTGCAGGCTTATGGGGCCCCACACTCACAACAGCCCTGTCATTGTCTGAGACTTTCTTTTTCTTTTCTTTCTCTTTTTTTTTTTTTTTTTTTTGAGACGGAGTCATACTCTGTTGCCCAGGCTGCAGTGCAGTGGTGCAATCTTGGCTCACTGTAACCTCCGCCTCCCAGGTTCAAGTGATCCTCCCATTTAATAACTTTACACAAGGGGCCCTGCATTTTCATTTTGTACTGGGCTCCCCAAATTATGTAGCTGGTCCTGAATGCTAGAATGGCCAGCAAGGGGAGATGTCTTTTGCCTCTACCCCACCCCGAGGCCCAGGGTGCCCCATGAAGAATCAGATCCAACTTGTCCTGAGTCTTTCTGCCTCCAGAATGGCCTTTTGCTCCAGCTCACTGCTTTAGGCCTTCTCTGTCTTGTTTTCAATCCTTTCCTCTCTATCCGTACATATTAGTTTTCTACTGCAGACATAACAAACTACCATAACCTTGGTGACTTAAACAAGATGAATGTATCATCTGACAGTTCTGTGGTTAGGAGTCCCACCTGGGTCTCGCTGGGCTAAAATCAAAGTATTTCCTCGAGGCTCTGAGGTGAGAATTTGTCTCCCTGTGTATTCCAGCTTCTGGAGGCACCTGCCTCATAGCATTCCCTGGCCTCCTCTTCTGCCTCCCTCTCCAGCTTGCAAGGACCCTGCGTGATCTCCTTATTTGAAGGTCTGCTGATTAATCCCATCTTCAACCTTAATTCCCCTTTGCAATGTAAACTAACATACTCACAGATTCTGGGCATTAAAGTGGGGACATCTTTCGAGAGGGCCACTTTTTTGCCTACAGCACCTTATCTTTTTCCATCTTTCCCGAATCTGGAGTCCCAGCTTATCTTCTCCCTTGGCATGTTTTATTTAAAGCTCTTTCATGTTAACCATAAAGAGAAACTGATGGAAAAAAGAAGAGAAAACGGTGGGGGGAGAGAGGTGAAGGAAGAACTAAACATGTTCATCACCTTGCGATTTATGTTTTTATGTTCAAAACTCCCTTCACTACTTCCACCTCTGTTTAGCACTACTACGCCTTACATACTTGAAGATCTACAAAAATTTTAAACTTTGAAGGAAACTATACTTATGAAAAAGTGGTAGGAATCATACCCATTGAGGAGGTATAGGAATTGAGGTCTTAGAAAAGCGCTTTTCAGAAGGAGACTAGGAGAGAGAGATCCCCAAAAAACTGCATTTCCCTCTTCTGCTTCTGAATATGGAATCTATACTCTGGATCTGACTAATTGCCTGAGACTCTTAAATTTCCCTGGAAAGTCTTCAGTCCTTTCCTCCCTCCAAGGTTCTCCCCTCCTTTGAAGGGGCATGCGGAGCTCCGAGTCAACACAAATGTTCCCCTGTGGGTCCCTTACACCCGTGTCTCCCCTGGCTGGGACTCGAGCATTGCAAACACGAGCTCTTGGGCATATTGCTGAGAGAGGATCCTGGCGTGGCAAGTGCAGCCAGCTGGTCTCGTACCCACATCTTTTCAGTAAATTTCTCTCAAGCATATGTACACACACAAATACGCCTTCTGTTGAAGGCAATGAAATAATCTTTCACCACAGAGGCTGGAGAAAATGTGCAGAACCATGAAATGAAAGCAGTGCTTTCGGGTCTGTGGATGGTTTTTCATGGAGTAGAGACCCTGTTGTCACCATTGCTGAGCACTCGCAGGCCGCGTGAAAGTCTGGTGGGACACACTAGTCTCCAGTGCAGGCTCCTGGGAGAGCATCCCTGTCCAGCCTGGCTAAGGAGGCTTCACAGTCAGCCCTGTCGCAGGACCCTGTCTTCCTTTTTTGGCGGCACAGATCACTCTCAGAGATCACTTTATGGATCTACTCGTGTGTTGTCCAACTCCCCACCGGAATGTAAGCCCAACCATCTGTTCTGTTTCCTGCTGTTTCCCCCGGTGGACTTAGATGCCCAGTCCACTCTGTCACATGCCTGGGTGTGGGTAAAGTGTGTCTTTGTTCTGGGCCCATGGGTCACTGCACTTGTGGGTTGGGCCACCCTCCCCTCTGCCACAGGGTTGCCTACCTGACCCAGCTTCTGGCCCGTCTGCTTCTCCCTCTGGAGAATCTGACCTACAACACAGGGACAGGCTTTGCCAGCTAGCAGTCACCCTGCAGGAGACATGGGGTGCACCAGGTCCTGGGGAGCTGAAACGACAAGAAAGCAGAGGAAGCTGGTTCCTGCCAGGACTGGGGCAACAGCAAGGGAAGCCAAGGTTCCACCGGTCCTTCTCAGGGCACTGTGCAGTGGGAGTGAAGCAATGAGCCCTTACAGCTCAGCACCATGGTTCTCTCACAGGGCCAACTCTGCGCTGCTGGGCACAGAAAAGCAAACTGCTCTTTCCCTCTGAGGGCAGCCTGGGAAGGCTTCCAGGGGAGGGGATCTTGAGTCAAAACTTGAAGAATGAGTGGGGGTGAGGAGATGAATGCAAATCCCATTACTCCTGCTGTGCGAGATGCTCTCCTTAAAAGAACTCGTTCGTCTGTCTCTGTCTCTCTCTCTCTCTCTCTCTCTTTTTCTCTCTCTCTTTGAGACAGGGTCTTGCTCTGCTGCTCAGGCTGGAGTGCAGTGGTGAGATCATAGCTTATTGCAGCCTTGACCTCTTGGGCAAGCAATTCTCCTACCTCACCCTCCAGAGGCGCTAAGACGACATGTGCAAGCCCCACGCCGGTCCACCCCTCCAGAGGCACTAAGATGACATGTGGAAGCCCTCACGCTGGTCTAACCCTCCAGAGGTGCTAAGATGACATGTACGAGCCCCCACGCCGGTCTACCCCTCCAGAGGTGCTAAGACGACATGTGCGTGCCCCCATGCCGGTCTAACCCTCCAGAGGCGCTAAGATGACACGTGCGAGCCCCTATGCCGGTCTAACCCTCCAGAGGTGCTAAGATGACATGTGCGTGGCCCCACGCCGGTCTAACCCTCCAGAGGTGCTAAGACGACACATGCAAGCCCCCACGCTGGTCTAATCCTCCAGAGGCGCTAAGACAACATGTGCATGCCCCCACGCCGGTCTAACCCTCCAGAGGCGCTAAGACGACACGCGCGAGCCCCCACGCCGGTCTAACCCTCCAGAGGCGCTAAGACGACACGCGCAAGCCCCCACGCCGGTCTAACCCTCCAGAGGCGCTAAGACGACACGTGCGAGCCCCCACGCCGGTCTAACCCTCCAGAGGCGCTAAGACGACATGTGCGAGCCCCCACGCCGGTCTAACCCTCCAGAGGCGCTAAGATGACACGTGCGAGCCCCCACGCCGGTCTAACCCTCCAGAGGCGCTAAGATGACATATGCGAGCCCCCACGCGGGCCTAATTTTTATTTTTTACTTTTTGTAGATGTAGGGTCTCACTTTGTTGCCCAGACTGGTCTTAAACACTTGGCCTCAAGTGATCCTCCTGCCTTGGCCTCCCAAAGTGTTGAGATTACAGGTGTGAGTCACCACACCTGGCCTTCCCAGTTTCTTTCTCTGTGAAAGAGTGATAAGAGCCCCTCCATGCTTTGGGCTTTTGGGGGTCACAACAATGGGAGCTCAAGCGCCTGGCACTTGTAGCAGGTAGCTCTTATTCCAGGTGACAAGGTGGCACACACTTCCTGTCTGCTCTCTGCCCTTCATTCCCTCCCTATTGCCTTGTCTGGGTTCAAACCCTCTTCCTTGCCCAAGCTTGCATTGCAGCTATTGTCTGTACCAATTTCACCATTAAGTCCCATGTGCCTCAGTCAGGGATGTGGGGTCAGTGTGACCCCTGACCAGTAGCCCAGGCTGCCCCCTGGCCATTTTCTTGCCTTCATCACTAGGATCTAAGCAGCCCCCTGGGGCTGGCAGTGACCCCCAGCACAGTTGCTGTCATGGCCTGCCAACTCCGCCTGCCTCACCCTTTGCTGTTTCATAGCCAAGCCCCTAACCAGGCTGAGTCTGAGGAACAGAGTAGGGGCAGATCGAAGGAGTGGTCATTTGAGGGGCATCCCATGATAACATCTCCAGCAGCCAGATTCTGCTGCTTTGGGGAAGTCACCCATGCTTTGTCCCACCCCTGCCACCTTCTTTTTCTGTATTTTTCTCAGGGCCATGGAGAAAGGATTCATGAGCTCATGTCTCGGAAATGCTTTGAAGATGAGAAACACTGAGCATTTTCCCAACAGCCCTCAATTTACTTTTTCAGCATTCTCTCTGGGCTGTCAAGCCTTTGTAGTTATTTTTATAAATAGCAATTGCTGGCTGCTTCCATTTTTACCCAGGAAAACTCCACCTCCAGCTGGAACTGGCTGCCATCCTACAGCAGACCAGCCATGGGGCTAGATCTGTCCCCATTTCTCTTGACCAACTCCCTTTGCACATCCCTCCCTTTGTTGCAGACCCCACTTCACTGTCTCTTGTACGCCTCCAGTGCCACCCTGTCTCCCTGTCACCAAGACACTGATCTGTCCCAATGACTCTTCATACACAGCCCAAGTTCTCCAACATGGCACACAAGGCCGTCTGTGCCTTGGCCACCACTCACCTGTTCAGCCACATCCCTGGTCTTGTCCCCTACCACTTCTGGGCTCAGTCATCCTGAACTACCTCTTGTTCCCTGAAGCAGGCAAGGTCATGGCTCTAGGCCAGGAGGGAAGACAGTCCATAGAAAATGGAGATGGAGCCTGGTGGTAGGTCTGCCCTGGTATGGAGGGTAGAGCAGGCTCCTTGACTGATGCACAGTTATGTTTTGTTTTACTTTTTGGAGTCATGGCCTCACTCTGTCACCCAGGCTGGAGTGCAGGGGCTCAAACACGGCTCACTGCAGATTCAAGCTCCTGGGCTCAAGTGATCCTCTTACCTCTGCCTTTCAAGTAGCTGGGACTACAAGTGCCAGCCATCCCACTTGGCTAATTTTGTTTTAAGAGATGGGGTCTCTCTATGCTGCCCAGGCTAGTCTGGAACTCCTGGCCTTGAGTGATCCTCCTGCCTTGGGCTTCCAAAGTTTGAGCCATCATTTAAATATTTAAATGAAATATTTAAATAATATAAAAACTCATGGGGAATAAGGTAATGAATATTTATGATACAATGAATACAATGAACAACACAATGGCCTAATAAATGACAAATCACCTTTATTATCTATGGACCTCTTTTTACCCTCCAGCTCTCCCCACCAATGAAAACCATTATCAGGCTGGGCGCGGTGGCTCACACCTATAATCCCAGCACTTTGAGAGGCTGAGGCAGGCAGATCACCTGAGGTCGGGAGTTCAAGGCCAGCCTGACCAACATGGAGAAACCCTGTCTCTACTAAAAATACGAAATTAGTCGGGCATGGTGGTGCATGCCTGTAATCCCAGCTACTCAGGATGCTGAGGCAGGAGAATCACTTGAACCCAGGAGCCGGAGGTTGCGGTGAGCCGAGATCGTGCCATCGCACTCCAGCCTGGCAACAAGAGTGAAACTCGGTCTCAAGAAAAGGAAAACCATTATCATAAGTTTGGTGTCTAATATTTCTAGGCAAGTCTTCATGCTTTATGTGTATACGTACCTAAATAATATATAGCAGTGTTTTGTGTGTTCTTAGACTATGTAAATGCTGACTTGCTGTACATATCCTTATGAGATTTACCCTCTGCTCAATAAGCTAACCCTTGCTTTCTTGCTGATACCAATAATAATCTTTTTATTACAGTCTTAACAAGAGTCATGCCAATCAGTGAGGTTCTAAGGGTGGGAGTGGTAGGAGCAGTCTAGGCTGCAGGAAGGAACATTTTGTCACAGGCATTGTTTAGAATTGCTGGTGCATGCATGCTGGTAATAAAAAGCAGACCAACTTTCAGTGTCAGGCTGTCCTAACAAATACCACGTACTGGGTGGCTTAAGCAATAGACATTTCTTTCTCACAGTTGTGGAGGTTGGAAGTGGAAGGTCAAGGTGTTGGCAGGGTTGGTTTCTCCTGAGGCCCTTCTTCTTGGCTTGTGGATGCCGCCTTCTTGCCGTGTCTTCATGTGGCCTTTTCTCTGAGCCCATGCATCCCTGGTGTCTCCGTGTACCCAAATTTCCTCTTATAAGGACACCAGTCACATTGGATTAGGGTCCAGCCAAATGGCCTCATTTTTACTTAATCATCCTTAAAGTTCTTACCTGCAAATACAGCCCCATTTTGAGCTACTGGGGGTTCAGGCTTCAACATATGAATTAGAGAGGACACAAGTCAACCCATCACAATCACCAAGCCCCAGTGTCCAGGGGGTGAAATATACTCTGCTGCTGTGGGGCACCATAGAACCAAGTGGTAGGAGAGAGTAAAGAATTGAGAGCAACAATCTACCTATCAAACTGAGGTGCTATCTCCATTTTACAGATAAAGAAACAGGCCCAAAGACCAGCCCCGAGCCACATCACATATCTAGGAAGTGGCATCAAGGGGTGCCTCAATGGCAACGCCTCAGACAAATCCAGGTCTCTTTGCCGCCCTGCAGCACGGCTGCTCCACCTTCTTCTTGTTCTCAACCCCCAGGCTCTGGACCTCTCTCCGTCCTCAGGACCATGTACATGGAAATTCTGCTGCCGGGGATGCCAGCCCATAACTTTTGGGAGAAACTCTCCCATCAGGTATCCAGTGACAGCTGCCAGTGGGTGCCAGGGTAACAGGGTATTTGTGTTCCAGGTCATCTGGCATACCTTGCTCCTTCCCCACCCCAGGACCCTCATCTCAGGGAGCCTCTTCTGCTGACTTCTGGAAAGGCCTGGACTCCTTTGTTCCATGGAGTCATCAGGTAACTGCCAAGAGTCCTCAGTTTGCTATTCCCCAGCGCCTTGTCGAGCTTCCTTGGGTGTCCCAGGTCTTGCTGTGTTCAGCACGGCTTGAGTCATACTTGGTCTTCTTGAGCAATGATAAAGGTGGCTGTTAGTTAGGGAACGAAGACAGCCTCAGAGGGGAGAAGCCTATCAGTATTTCAAGCCCCGGATGATGTGAAAAACTGAGCCTTTGTTTGGGAGTGTCACCCCCCAGGACTTGTGTGTTTCTGCCCGGAAGCATTTTCCGCTTTCTGAAGGCGGAAGCTCTATTTTTCGTTTTATTGACTGCCTATGTGCCAGGGGCTTTGTGAATATCACTGCACTGAAATTCCCAATACCCAGCAAGAAGGCATTATTATCCTCATTTTACAGATGACAAAATA